TATTTTGAAAATTAGACACTGTCTATGCATATTTAATGAGGCAAAAGTATACATTAGTCATGTTTTTATTTTAAATATTTAAAATATTTATTAATATTTTTTCTAAAAACAAATTACAGATTATTATTCAGAATTCGATACAGTTTCTAATTATTGTCAAAGCTTAATTGACATAATTTTGAAAAAAAATCGCACTTTAATTTTCGAAACCGGCCTTAAGTAAATTGTCATAATAATTACTACATTTACAAAAAGAATATTTACATTTATTTAAAAAAGCGAAAATCTATTTTGTATGCATATAAGTAAAACAAATTCTAAAACAACAATCAATACATATTTTACATATTTTCACGTAATTATGCATACGCGGTAGACAAGCTCGAAACACAAAACTAACGTAAAGGGATTTTTCTCCTAAGGTTTTGAATAGAATAAGAGATTTACCCTTTACAGAACAGAATTAGATTAATTAGATAATTATTATTATATGACATCAATTAGGTGAGGCTAACATTGTACTTCTCCTTCACTTTCACCTATCCCATGGTCTGCTGGACCGTTGGGGCACCATGCAAGATCAGTCAACCTTCTTTCTCCATACGTCTCTGTACTTTGCCTTCGATATAATTTCATTTTGATATTCTTTCTGAAAATATTGAGACCCGCCTTATTACCTGACTGGGTGGACCACTTTGGGGGCCGATTTTGAGTTTGTGTTTCCACACAAACTGTCTTTGTAACCTTGTCTTGCTTTCAGTCTATGATGGCTCTCTGAGACAGATTTATTATAAAGCATACTATTTTCTTGTAATGGTAATGCATGGCAGCCCAAGAGATTGACGAGATGAAAGAATTTATTGAACTTAATTTCTCTTCACACGTAGAACATTCACTTTAATATTCAATATTCTCTCCCATAAAATTGCATGTACAGTCATTCCCATACAAGTCAGATAATTTTGTGGATTATTATTTTTTGAAAATACAATAAAAATCTCTTGATCTGACACGTAGGCCACATATTTAAATATCTTTTGGTCTTTTATTTTTTTTTTTTCAAAGATGTGCAGATCTGGAAAATCTATACCTTTAAAAGAAAAACAGGTTTTGAGAATCTCATAAAATTGAGATTTTTCATTTATAATTATTCATTATAATTCTTTGTAATTATTCATTGGACCAAAGTTGTATTCCTATCCTAAATTCACGGCCGGAGTTACCTATAGGCAACACAAGCTGTAGCTTGCTTAGGACTCCAAAAGAAATATTTAGCACCGTTTCTTGAACCAACCAGCAGAACTGTTAGCAACACAATTACAATTTGCAATTACAAATACTCAGATGATTGATACGTCTAAGAATGTATAATAATGCTGTGTAAGGGTAACCAGTTATTAATATGAAAAGAACAATAACTTTCCACTAATATAGATTTTACCCAAGCTAAACTTTTTGAACTGTTGCAATAGCCAGACAGTTCTCTAAAGTTATATGAATTCCCCCCCCCTTCCCCATGCGACCATTGTAAACTGTTAATGTAACAGCAACCCAAGTGTCCTTGTAACTAGTAACGTTACAGCTTTTGTTGACACGCTCCAAATAGCAGAAATTGATGGCGCCATTTATCTCGTTATTTTTTAAACGACGCAAGGATTTCTTTGTCCTTCGAGCTCCAACTGCGGCTTTCAATTCTGATACGCAATCTTGCATAAAGTATTGCCCCAGTCCTGTAAACGGTTCTCCTTGTCAAAGACATTATTACATCACAGAAGACATTTTTTTTTCAAATATAATGGAGATTTTTTTTTACTTTAAAAGCTACCTGTCTTTTAACTCTTGTAACTGATTGCCAATATCCGTCTCAGCCATTTTTGTTGAGCCATATTTAGTCTTTTCTCAATTTTGACAGATGACTTCCATGTCTCACTTGCATAAGTAGCAGTTGGAATGACGATTGTGTTGAGAAGGTTTTTTTTTGTATCGAGACCAATGGCTTGGCTTGTCCAAATTGGCTGCAGCATTTGGAAAATGCTCCCTGCCTCTCCTATTCGGCACGCTACATCATGGTCATATTGTCCATAGTGATTCTCGGTGGACACTATCAAACGCTTTCTTAAAGTCTACGAAACTGATCGTTAGCCGTTGTTGGTACTCGAGACTTTGTTTTATGATATTTCGTTGAACGAAGATCTGCTCTGCACATGATCTGTTTCTTCTGAAGCCTGCCTGTTTTTCTCTGAGCCGCTCATCTACAGACTGTTGAAGCCGTCTCAACAAAACAGTGCAGAAAAATTTGCCCGGGACAGAGATTAGAGAAATGCCCCTCCAGTTGTTGCAGTCTGCAATGTTGCCCTTTTTTGGAAGCTTCACAATCACTTCTTTTTTGCCATTATGTTTGCCTAAGTGGTTTATGATGTTGCTACATATTATGTATTCTTTGGATTTGATGCTGGTTAATGAGACTGGTCTGTAATTTCCTGGGTCAGATTTTTCTCCTTTTTAAATGTGGGTGGTGGTGACGTTAGCTTCTTTCCAGTCCCTTGGTACTCTGCCATGGAAATTTTTTTTTAACACTGGTGCTAGCTCATTGCTTAGTTCTTTGAGTAATTAAGTAATATGTCTTTGTTTCCTGGGGCTGAGAATACTGATGCAAAGTATTTTTTTAGGATAATAGCTTTAGTTTCATTATCATTATGTGTAAAGTTATCTTCTCCTTTTAATGGTGCTACTCCTGTTGTTTCCATTTTCTTAGACTTCTTAGACTTTTATTGTTATTCTTTGAAATTACATTGTTTATATATTCACTCTGCAGCAGTCTGCTTACTTTTTAAGCCAGGTGTTTAATTCTAATATATTTTTTATAAACTTTTTCTGCCTTAGATTTTGTTTTTATTTTGTATATAGGTTTCTTTTTGTTTGTAAATCTTCTTTAATCTATTATTAAACCAGCATTTATTTATTTTGTTTGATGTGTATTTAGTTGGTACTTGGTTTTCTATAATGTTTTTTTAGATAGTTTTTAATGAAATTCCAGAGGTCATTGATTGGTTTGTTAATTTCTTTTCCCGATAAGAATGTTTGTTGAAAGTTTAATGCAGCTTGGTGTACCTGTGTTGCATTTGTTTCAGAGTAGAGATATCGCTTTTGAGTTTAATATTGGCAAATGTTTTTATCTGACTGTGAATTTTAACAATATAATGGTCCGACTTCCCAGGGATATATCATAATCTACTACGAATCCAGTTCTGTTAGTTAAGATCCATGGGACAGATGATGTACCATATCAACTATTGGCAGGTGCAGAAAAATAATCATATTCAAAATATTAAATTTAAAGTTGATATTCCTCGCCCAGAACGTCAAGCTCCTTACCAATTTACCATTACGCCCCCTATATTTTGAACTAAGTTCTCTTCTTTAACAATCTACCATCACGCTCCCTAAATTTTGAGCTAAGTTCTCAACTTTACATATCTCTCATCAAGCCCTTTATATTTTCAGCTACGTTTTTTACCAATCTGGCATTAAGCCCCCCTATATTTCGAACTAAGCAATCTTCTTTACCAATCTCTCATCAAGTTCCCTATATTTTGAGTTAAGTTCTCTTCTTTATAAATCTACCATCAAGTTCCTTATATTTCTAACTAAGTTCTCTTCTTTACCAATCTCTCATCAAGTTCCCTATATTTTGAGTTAAGTTCTCTTCTTTATAAATCTACCATCAAGTTCCTTATATTTCTAACTAAGTTCTCTTCTTTACCAATCTCTCATCAAGTTCCCTATATTTTGAGTTAAGTTCTCTTCTTTATAAATCTACCATCAAGTTCCTTATATTTCTAACTAAGTTCTCTTCTTTACCAATCTCTCATCAAGTTCCCTATATTTTGAGTTAAGTTCTCTTCTTTATAAATCTACCACTAATCTCCCTACATTTTGAGCTAAGTTCTCTTCTTTATCAGTCTACCATCAAGTTCCCTATATTTAGAACTATTAGAACTCTTCTTTATCAATCTATCATCAAGCCCCATATATTTCGAGCTCATTTCTTAATAGAGCTGATCCAAACGAATTACATATGAATGCATAGCATGTCTGTGCTGACATTAAAATTTTGACTGTCATTACCTTGACGCCATTAATGAGTGAAATAAAAGCTGAAATGCCCACATGTATTTTATGGTCATGCAAGGAGCCTATCGGATAACCTTTGTTTTAATGCAGCTTTAAAAACCCTTCCAAGAGAATGACACATTGACATTTAATGGAACTTTTCTGCTTCTTTTTATTATCTCCACTCAGATCTATGTCTTTTTTGTAATTTTTGTTCCATAGTAGGTAAATTAAAATCTCCAATACAAAACTGATGTTTTATATTACCCACAATATCATTTACATCTCAGAAACCAATGATGTAATAAGAATATATTGTGAATGATTATCGAAAACTAAATAATTATTTATTTATTTTTTTGGTTAAGAGTTTGTTAGTGAAATAGTTGCTTTCTAATTGTCTTTATAACCTGTCATTTTTTTTTGCTTTGAAAACACCAAAGCAAAACACACATACACACACTCATACGCACACACATAGATTAAATAGAAAAACACAGACAGACAGATAGATAAAATAGACAGATACGAAATGAAGGACATACAGACAGACAGATAGATATATAAATAGATGACTGGATGACTGGATGGATAGAAAAGATAGATAGATAGATGGATAGATAGATTGATAGATATATAAATTGATAGGTAGATAGATAGATAGATAGATAGATAGATAGATAGATAGATAGATAGATAGATAGATAGATAGATAGATAGATAGATAGATAGATAGATAGATAGATTGATAGATAGATAGACAGACAGATGGATGGATGGATGGATTGATGGATCGATGGATGGATGGATGGATGCATAGATAGATAGATAGATAGATAGATAGATAGATAGATAGATAGATAGATAGATAGATAGATAGATAGATAGATAGATGGATGGATGGATGGATGGATGGATGGATGGATGGATAGATAGACAGACAGACAGACATACAGAACGTTAGATAGATAGATAGATACATTGAATCTCTGTAATGCAATCTTAACAGATGTCAATTAATTAAAAAGTACTTTAAAAAATTCTTTACATATCACATAGCTTGTCAAGTGTGTACAAAAATATGTATCAGGTCAAATTTAATGCTACAATTGACCAGCGATTGGTGAAAAAGAGTTTGATCTAGTGAAAGGAATGGGCGGTGTGTACTTCTGTTATGTTTTTAAATGTTGTATACCTTTGAAATTACAAAAAGGAACTTTGCGTGCTGTCATTGAATCATTGATTTGTCAAACCAGAGTTTATATCCGGAGGCGTCGCTAGATTTAGTGTCACCCGGAGCGGTAAAACAAATGCTCCATCTCTCCCCCAATCAGATTTGTCAAAGCAAAAGTTTCAAAAGATATCAATCATTCTCAAACGGTTTAACAGGAATCTAAATTCAACTCTATAAATACTGTTTTAGTGGTTTAACAGGAATCTAAATTCAACTCTATAAATACTGTTTTGGTGGTTTAACAGGAATCTAAATTTATCTCTATAAATACTGTTTTGGTGGTCTAACAGGAATCAAAATTCAACTCTATAAATACTGTTTTGGTGGTTTTACTCTCTACATTCTTTTCGGGTTTTTAAAACAAAATCCACTCTGGCGTCACCTCATTATGGATGTCACGTGATGCGGTCAGCACCCTCTTAGTGACACCACTGTATACAATCTCAATAACATGACTAAATAATGTGACCCTTAATCAGCATTAAGTATGTCTCATTTACTAACGGTATAACTTTGTCTTTAAATCTTAGAGCTGTGACCTCCAGTATGTCAGACGGCGATATTGACCACTTTCTCTGATGATGGACTAAGGCCAGACTATGATTAACAACGACCTGTGTGGCTGACCCTCGATGAGTGGTGGTCAAGTGTATGTCAGGGAACAAGACCAGGTCTGGCCTGACTATTGACTTCTGTCTAGTGCCCGCCCATACTGTGTTCAAACGTAAAAGATCCGTAAACGCAGTGAGAGAGTACTTCTCAAACAAAAATTCCATTTCATCACTGATTGAATAGTTGCGTTTGATTTCGGACCAAAGTGAACCTTTCGGTCTGTCCTGGAAGCAAGTGGTCTCAAAGATATAAGTGCCCAGCGTCTCATGACTAGTCGAATTGTTCTTCTCTTGGTCGAAATTGTTGTTGATTTGATCGATTAACTCTTTCCAGCTGTTCTGGTGGTTGGGGACAATCATTTCATCAGTGTCATGAATGACCACATACTTGGACACTCCCTTGTTGCGATAGACGCAGTCGTTGATAGCCAACACCTGGCCAAAATAATGAATACCCGAGATATTCATCGGCCATTGTAATATTGTCATTAGCCCCCTCTTCTGGTAATGTCTTAGTACGGCGTCTGTTGAGCTTGAAATGCTCATGTTATAGACATAGAAATGCTCAGCTCCGAGAACTCTGTTGAACTCAACATTCTGAATGATTTGCGAGTAGTTAGTGAAGTCGAATAGCATAGCATAACAGACTGTGAAGTTTCTCCGCGGTAAAGATGGATAGAGAACTTGCAGGATATTCGTGGGTGAATCTGTTTTTTTTAATGTTATAGAAACTTGATCTGGACATCTGCCATCGGTCAGCCAACATTCATAGCTAACAACACGAAGTCTGGAAACAAAAAATAATTATGAAGAAAAAAGTGTGTTTGTTTTGTAGCCTAATGTATGCCAAAACAAGTGATAAAAGTTTTAATCCATGTCTACAAAATCAAGCTGATTTTTGTAAAGCTTATATCAACTCACTCTGTCTGTCTGGTCAAAAGTATGTATACGTCATTTCTCCCACACCCAATCTTGGATCAAGCTGAAATTATGCACCATTATTTCTTTTACCTGACAACTCAAGATTCAATAAATAAAAAAAAAAACAATTAGTTAATTAACTATACTTAATATATTATTTCATTTGGTATCTCAAACAAGGGAAAGAATTAGTACTTGACTGAAGTGGTGGTATAAGCTGAATTAGTCCCCTTTGTAGGTCGTCTTCTAAGTCATGGTAAACACGACATTAAAAATATGACTAGACTATAGAAACAGTTTATAGGCTCTCTACTAGCACAGCATTGCAAAATCATTAATCTCTAAAACTCTAAAACTAGCCAATATTTTATAATTGTATTAAAGTAGACACTAGTCCAATCCTTCAAGTCTACATAAGACGGTGCGCAAAATGTTTAGACCATAGACTTATATATATTAAATCTAGACTGAAAATCAGAGTCAAATTCTTATCCCCGATTGATCGATTCACAGACCTATTTCCGGTATTGAAAGCCAACAAAATGCATATTCTGATGTATCTACAGTGCATTATCCGGCTATCAAAAAGTTTTATTTCAAAAACCTAATGTGCTATTCTAACTGACTTATATCCTCCCGCGCCGTTCGGCGCATTGGGCGGCAAGCTGTTTCCACAAAAATCTGTCACTTGCAATGTCTGAAGCGTCTCCCTCCATGAGAGCATGTCCCGAAAACCTCATTCTACGCTCTTTCACAACCTTACTAAGGGGTCGACTCCCAGTTCGGCATAGGATTTCCTTGACTTAGACCATGCGGCACCACACACGATCTGTCAACATTCTTTCTCCATTCTTCTACGTCATTTGCCTTTGATAGAATCTCATTCTGATATTTTTTCTGAAAATATTGAAACCTGCCTTCTTACCAGTCTGGGTGGTTCACTTCGGGGGCCGATTTTGAGTTTGTGTTTCGACACAGAGTGTCTTTGTAAACCTTGTGTATATTTTACTTCAAATGATTTTTATTTAACAAGGAACACTGTCTCTCGATAGGTAAGTTGAACTAATATAATATTTTCTGTCAATAGTTACGATCTGAGTGGATCTGAGTGGATTAGAATATTAATTCATGGCCAAGTAATACTAAGTGCCTAAGCAACATAGCAATGCTATAGGATAATCGTTAGAAAATAAATATAAGTGGGTATAGGTGGCTTAACGTTGAGTGGCGTATCACGGTATTGGAATCCTCTTACCCCCCAAAGCGCTACAGACATCAACTCGGGCGCCATTTTGCCACCACTGCCATAAAGGCAAGAAGCAGGCAGCAGGTGGACTCTGAACGAGTCAGCAAGAGAGCTACCATGAAGGTCAACGAGCAAACATTTAAGGGCCCAAATAAGGACGACTTCACTGTAGACATGCGCAGACGAAGATAAAAAAACAACAACATATGACCCCTGAGGACAACGACTTTGCATCAGATACAGATACGGCAGGAAATTTTCATCTTCAAACTAGAACAACGGTTTCAACCTTCTAAGCTCGGTGACCCCTTTTTACAATCCCCACTCTGCCGCAACCCCCTTACCCGGCTATCACACACAGCAATAGAAGAATAGACAAAAATACAATCCATTTTTTTATGGTCTTTGGCGACCCCTGACAAATCGTCAAATCACCCCCTCCCAAAGGGGTTCGCGATCCACAGGTTGAGAACACCTGAACTAGAATGTATACGTTTATATGTGTTAGTGCAAGTGTACTATTTTTAAAAGTTATAATATGTGTGCGTGAGCGTGTCTATGTGTGTGTCTGTAGAGATGTATACCTTTCGCCGTTGCCGTCAACTAGCAGAGACCTCGTTCCCTCTATGACGGTAAACTGATTGTTTGTCTTCATGTGACAGAAAACTGGAGTTTGTAAATTACGAGGCTGTATGCCGAAAACTCGAATCAAATTTTTGTCGCTGATTGTGTCAAAGAATGCGGAATAGACCCAAGCCTCGTTGGTGTTTATTCGCAGAAATTTCTCCTCGTCCGATCGCAACAGGCTGTTTACCAGGACACTGCAAAAAGAAAAAGAAAAAAATTCTTAAAATGATTTAACTTTCTTAGAACAGGATTTAGTTTTGTATTTGCAAAGTAGTCGGAGAAGCAGTCGACCATGTTATATATATTCATGCGAAAACTTGTTGACACTTATCCATGTTCACCCAAAACAGGGTTTATTCAAGACCATTCGTAATAGACGGCATCAATCCTTAAGGACCTGCAACGTGACAGTTTAGACCAATAGCTCATTGCCAAGTCACAGGTTTGTGCGTTGCAGGTCAGAGGTTAAGGCCTTCTATAACGATTGGTCTCGGAAGAGGAATGGGGGGGGGGGGGAGGCTGGGGGAGACGCAGCGTATCATTTACGTTTATTAGCCTACTGATGTCAAATCTACGTTAGTACTTCGATGCTAAATATTTACAAAGCTTGCATCGACTCACTTTTTTCTCTGTCTGTCTGGTAAGAAGTTTTCAAGACGTCATTACTCCCACACTACGCAAGACAGCTGGGATTCTGTCCAGGGCTTTTGAAAGAGAGGATTAAAGCATCTCAAGCCCTAACTCAAATGGAGTTTGATGATGACGATGATGACTCCCACACCCAATGTCGGATCAAGCTGAAATTGTGCACAATTACTGCATTGACCTGACAACACAAGAGTCAATAATAAAAAAAATTAGTTAATTTTCACTAATTTTTTGGGGGAATTGCGAACAAGGGAAAGAAATTGTACTTGACTGAAGTCTTTGAAGTAGTGGTGTAAGCTGAATCAATCCCCTTTACAGATCGCCGCTTTAAAAAGTTTGAAACAAACAATACATAACTATACTATCTTCTATAGAAGCGATGGACAAATTACGACCAGCGGGTCACATGCGGCCCTCCGGAGTATTTTATACTGCCCGCGGACACCTATGCCAACACATTATACATATAAAAAATGCAAAGGCTTTAAAAAAACGATAACGGTAAAATTCAGCCAGATATCCCCTTCGTTCTTAGGGCCCTATTTTCCCAACCCGTCCAGACAAGTGAAAAGATCAAATATTTCTAATCGCACAGATTTATGTTGGTCTAGAATCTAGATCTATAAGAAAAATTGAATGGCATGATTGATTTGAACTAATCGATACGATTACTCTTCGTATACGTTGTTTTAAGATCTCATCTGTCCCTAGACTTACGTCAAGGGGTTGCTATGACAGCTCGCGTAAACAAATCCCTCCATGGAGTCCATGCTTATTTTACGATCGTGCATTACACATACGAAAACATTACAACGATGAATACAAAGTGTGTATTCATTCCACAGTTTCAGTCTAAGTTGACTCTTCAAGTTTTCATCGATAAGTCGGTTTTTTTAATCAATAAATAAAAATAGGAGCGAATTCTCAGAAGCTCACTATGTACAGGAAGTATGCCATCAAAAACTTAACAAAACAACAACACTATGTCGATAATCAACTTTCTGCTAGGCCTTCCAATTTCCGTGTTCCGTGTGAACAGTTTCACAATATCCGTGGTGTTTTATTTTAGTTCCAGGAATGAAAAGTTCTCTTTGGCTAAATGACAACCATATAGATT